GCAAAACCTCCCCTCTGGCTCAGCGCCGGGGAGTGATTCATTTAAACCTCGCCGCCGGGGAGTGATTCATTTAAACCTCCCCTCAGGCTCAGCGCCGGGGAGTAGTTCTCTCGCCTCGGACCCTAAGTGTCCGGCTCGGCAAAACCTCCCCTCTGGCTCAGCGCCGGGGAGTGATTCATTTAAACCTCCCCGCCGGGGAGTGATTCATTTAAACCTCCCCTCAGGCTCAGCGCCGGGGAGTAGTTCTCTCGCCTCGGACCCTAAGTGTCCGGCTCGGCAAAACCTCCCCTCTGGCTCAGCGCCGGGGAGTGATTCATTTAAACCTCCCCGCCGGGGAGTGATTCATTTAAACCTCCCCTCAGGCTCAGCGCCGGGGAGTAGTTCTCTCGCCTCGGACCCTAAGTGTCCGGCTCGACAAAACCTCCCCTCTGGCTCAGCGCTGGGGAGTGATTCATTTAAACCTCCCCGCCAGGGAGTGATTCATTTAAACCTCCCCTCAGGCTCAGCGCTGGGGAGTAGTTCTCTCGCCTCTGACCCTAAGTGTCCAGCTCGGTAAAACCTCCCCTCTGGCTCAGCGCCGGGGAGTGATTCATTTAAACCTCCCTACCGGGGAGTGATTCATTTAAACCTCCCCTTAGGCTCAGCGCCGGAGAATAGGTCATTCGCCACAGACCCTAGGTGTCTGGCTCGGCAAAAATTTTGCCCCAGACCCTAGGTGTCTGGCTCGGCAAAAATCTCGCCTCGGACCTTAAGTGTTCGGCTCGGCGAAAATCTCGCCTCGGACCTTAAGTGTTCGGCTCGGCAAAACCTCCCTCCGGCTCCACGCCAGGGAATGTATAATTCGGCTCGGATCCTAAGTATCCGAGACAGCTTCGGACCCTAACTGTCCTATTCAGCACTAGTCCTCCCCAACTCAGTCCCAAAGGATAATTAGCCTCGGATCCTAAGTATCCGAGACAGCTTCGGACCCTAAGTGTCCTATTCAGCACTAGTCCTCCACGACTCAGTGCCGAGGGATAATTCGCCTCGAATCCTAAGTATCCGAGACAGATTTGGACCCTAAGTGTCCTATTCAGCAATATTCCTCCACACTCAGTGCCGAGGAGTAATTCACTTTAGACCGCTGGTACCCGGATCAGAACTCTTTCCTCCGGACTCCAAGTGTTTAATACCCCGTGGATGCGGATATATCATAAGTTCATCATACTCCACCCTACATCAGGAACACACGAGAAGGAAAGAGTATGTATACGGCTACTGCAGGCAAGTAAAAGGCAAGGAGGGTTCATTTAACAGTTAAATCATTGTCCATATGAATCATCCTGCGATATTAACTAAACTGTTAAAAGGATCTCCTTCTTCCCACAATCCTTGCGTTTTCACGGATAGCATAAATCCGAAGCATAAAGACAATGTTTAGTGTTTAAACACATTACCAGTCAGAGAAATATGAATAGTATCAAGAGCATACACAAAAACAAGTCAGGCAAGCCTAAAACAAAAAGTTATATTCATTACTCATTATCCCAAAACAGGCTGTTCATAAAAACAAAATACATGGTTCTACTTCCTCTTCGGATCGAAAGGAGTAGATTCAAAAGCATCCACTACATTAGGACTTGAGGTAGGAGGAGTTGAAGCCGCAGGAGCAGGGGAGCTAGGAGTACCCTTCAGGTGTGCCTTCACCATCTCGGCAAAGCGGATTTCAGCTTCCAAAGCCTCTGGCCCTTCATCGTATGGGAAGTGCACCCCCACCTGCTTGTCAAAGGCGTCCGGATCCATCGTCTTAGGGCCTGAGCCTTGATTATAGCCAGACCGGAACGCTTTAGCACTAGCCAGGTGCGCCAGACAGAAGTAGCGCCCCTGCATTTGCTTCCCCGCCTTGAAGCAAGTAGTAAGAGCCTCGATCAGGCGTTGAACCTCGGCCTGAAGAGAATCCACCTTAGCCTCAGAGGCTGACAACTGCCTCTTATACGCATCCTTGGCTTCAGAAGCTATCTTCATATTGGTAGAGGCAGTAGTGGCTCTCTTTTCTGCATTGTCAAGATCCTTTTCCAACTTCTTGATGGAGAGGGATTGAGCTTCAGCAGTGGCGCAGAGGGCCATGGTGTGGTATAGACTCTGTTTAACAAGGAAGCAAATATAAGCATAAATAGAAACACAAGCAAGCAAGAGAAACATAATTCTGAAGGAGCAATGCGAACCTCTATGGCCCGGACTGGGGCAGAGGGGAGTAGTTGCTCCAACCCTATTTGGCTGATGGCTTTCTCGTCCTTTGGGAGCCACATTCCTCGAGCAACCGCCAGTGCAGCTGAAGGGTCTGTAATCACAGAATCCCCTGAGTGCAGGACTGACCTATCAGCCCTGGTAAAGGAAGGAGTCCAAGGAGCCCCAGTCTCAGCTAGAACAAAGGCCCTGACTTCATCTTCAGGTTCAGCCTCTCCAGCCTTTTTTCCTCTGCTTTTAGAAGGGACCTTGCCCTTGCCAGAGGATGAGGGGTTGAGGTGAGATTTCTTCATTGGTGGTTCCTCAACCTCCACCTCATCCTCAGTTGATCTAATAACGACCAAGGGTTGGGCACCTTCGGCTTTCTTTTTTAAAGCCTCAGCCCTCCGTATCTCCTCCTCAGTCATGGGGAAACTGTCAAAGGATGGTAGAGACAGATCCATGAGGTCTGCAGCAACGGCACTGGAGGCAATGTCCTTGAGGTTTGAAGAAGTTAGCAGGTCCTCGATAGGCGAGGGGTCACTCCATACTCGTTCCTCAAGAAAAGAAAGTCTGTTCCTTGCTGCGGAGGATGGGAATGTAGCTGAAAAAACACCAAGAAAATCATAAATACGTCGAAACATTAAGACTTGGCAAGGAAAACAGGCAGAACACTTGGTATAAAGGGAGGTTAAATATTCTATACCTAATTTCCCGAACTTGCGCGGGATGGGAAGCGCAATTGATTGGGACACGAACCATTTTCCTTTAACTATAACCATCCTTTCTTTCCATTTCTTTTCGAATGAAGGAAGGTTCGTGCATATCCTCTGATGAAGGGGAGAAGTAAAAAAGAAGCGACCAAGCTCGGTCCCATACTTAGATATATTGTAAGTAAGCAGAAGGTCGGCAAGGGTCAAATCCAGAGCCTCTAATTTCCGGCGCACCAACAGTGCCGAAAGGATGCGAAAGAAATTAGGGTTTACCTGAAGGGGGGCAAGACCCAGCTTATTAAATACTAAATGATAGAAGGGATGAAGAAGGAATCGGAGGGCGTTAAGATGCCCCACCGAAAGAAGCAACTCATCCTCCTCAATTCCCTCGCCGGAGGTAAAATCGGCACCCTCGGGATATTCTGTGATTTCTACTCCCTCAGGAATATCAAATTCTTCCATTACCGAAGCAATAGAGAACTTGATGCGGCGAATAGAGATGATTGTTTTCTTCTCGTCATGAGTAAGAACATAATCAGAGCCTGAGATAGATGTCTCGGTTGGAAGAGGGGAAGTACCTAATGGATTCGACAAAGGGCGATCTGTAGAAACCCTAGGAGGGGGAGCCCTAATGCGAACGGGGGAAGATGAAGGTGTGGATTCAGAATCCCCACGGTCTATACGTTCGGGAGTAGATGAAGTACTCATAAGGAAAGATTGAAGAGAAAGATGCGAGACTAACCTGACAAAGCGATGGAATGAAGAACGCAGAAGTGCAGCAAGGGCAAATGTAACTCTTGCAAAATCTTGTACGTCGGAGTAATAATGAAAGACCTCGAACCGTTTCTGAAGCAAAGTAAAAAACCTGTTTCAATTCCCTCTTTAATAGGAGCCGTCGCTCAATTAAAAACGAAATTTGGGGCAAAGTGTGGAGGGAAAAAAACTCTCTCCAATAAAAAGTGCACACGTCACCACTACCCATATCTACATTCCAAGGACATATAAGGCCCATCATGCTCAAGCCCAAGTTGAGGGTATTTACAGCCCAAGAATGCACAAGTCCTACCATTTGAAGGATTTACTGTAGAAGGAAAATTCTGATAGGAAATTCTGTACAAGGCAAGTTCTATGTATGGAAAATTCGACAATGGAAAGAACCCTATTAGAAAAGAATGGTTATATAGAAAGAATTGGAGGGCAAGCAACGCGAGTCCTACCATAATTTTGCAATCTTTTGTATATAAATAGAGGCTAAGACCTCCAATAAAGGATCAAACAATTCTACGCTAGTCTATACACTGTTCTTATTTATTTTTATTATTTTTGAGTGAGTTGTTTTATTTTTCTCAATCATTATTGGTTGAGCGAAATTTTGCACCTACAAGGCCAAAACAAAATAACTAAGCAGTTTGTTTCAGAAGACAGAGGACCAAATATAAAATGTTTAAAACACTAGAAAAAATTACAATGAATATTACCATAGATTCCCAATTGAAAAAAATAAAAGGGTAATGTAACCCATATTATATTATTATCACAGCTACCAATGTAGTCGCTATGAAAAAACGGACAGTATAAATTTAGCAACACTTTTCCCCCCGGATCTGTTGCAGGAAAGAAATAATGTGCTGCTATACATAATTTCATGTCCATCGCCAGAAAATAAAATGGAGATCACTTTTCCAGCAAAAGCCCTGCAAATGACCAACAACAATTATATTATAGGCTCCAGAAATTTCAAGGTCTGATGGGGGAACTCATCGTATTAAAATAGCAATTGTAGACTTCAGTCCGTAACTATATACACCCCCACCCCCCACCCCCCCCCCCCCCCCCCCCCCCCCCCCCCCCAAAAAAAAAAGGAAAATAAATAAAGAAATTCAACAACATGCAACAAGTGGACTGTCAGCTCCCCAACTAACATTAACAGTTTTCACTAGTAAAAAGATTAGTGTTCTGCTGCCCAGTTTATGCTGTTTTTGAATTTTCATAGGTGTAGCCCATAAATATCAACCTTGTATAGAAATATGACAAAAAGTAATAGAATCGATCCACTACCACGAAAATCTGGAGATTATCGGCAATGCCACAATCATTACACATCAATAGATAAGATCCCAGTCAATTGCATCCACAGGAGACTAATAACTATAATGTGCATCACCAATACAATTACAAACATCAAAGAGGAGCCCACCAAATGGACACTTTTGAATTATTTTAAATTGGATTAAAATCAGTAAATAAATCGACTTTTCTACCTTATTTGGGTAATTACCATTTCCCTACTGATAAAAAAATATGAATGTTGAAGAGAGATAAAGACTGTAATGCTGAAGAGATATGGTATCCTCGTATCAATACCCTTAATCTTGAGAAAACGATTGTAGGATAATTCTTTACCATTCAGACTCCATGAAGATCATATATAGTGCTCGAGCGTTGCCACCTGTAAATAAGATGATTTGGTAAGTTCAGATGCTAAAATTATATTTTTGAACAGAAGCCAATAAATGACTCGTATCTTTGCACTGATAATAACTACTGTTATTCACATTGTCATGGCCAATGTGCATGAGTTGTGGCATATTTCCCCCTTGCACTTAGAAAGATCCAGGCTTCCACACTAAAAAGCCCACAAGATAATTGATAGCTTCAACGCACATCCTAGAATTACATGCTAAAGAGGTAAAAAGTTAATACCAACAAGCCAGTGGCCTAGTGGTACCAAGCCCCTATTTCCTAAAGGAAGGTCAGGGTTCGAGCATCGGTGGAAACATGTGTGTGTGAGGACCAATTAAGAAGAAAAGGTAAAAAGTTAATAAATAAATCATTCAGTTTGGTGATTAATCCATTCTAGTAAAGAAAATTTTATACCCCCAAAACAATATGAAAAAAAAAAATGGAATTATGATGGACTGAATGTGCCTTTTTTATTCTAGCTGACAATCCATTCAATACCCTACTACCCCTTTAAAACAAATGAGATCACTACAATCACGAACACCAGCATTCTATTAATGTGATAACCAGATAAAAACATTAAAATTTTACTTTAATTACTCGGTAATCTAAAACCAGATCTTGGACATACATAAAGTCCCTTTCTTACTCTTTTTCAAGACATTTACCTAGATTAAAATTCTTATACTCTTTTGAAGGGCACCTTCTAACGGTTCACATTTCATAAATTCTTGTACCACATTATAGTTCTTTCAAGGGTTGTACTTGTCCAAATTTTAAAATACAGCCAAATTTGTACAACTTAAATTTCACCTCACAACTCAACAATACTTTTCCAAAAATTTCCAAGTTAGTACTTGTAAACTAGCCACAAACCAATCTGAAAATAAATGACGGATGATTTAGATACCATTTTAAAAAAAAAAAACCAAAAGAGAGAAAATTTCGGAATCCTATAACATATCTAGACCTTTAGTAAGACCTAGGAGGCAAGGAACCACCACTACAACCCATCTCTAAAGAAGGTAAAACTACAAAAATGCCATTATCTCTTGAAACATAAGTAAATACATATGGAAATTTACCAATATCAGATTGAAGTAAATTAAACAAGAAACTGCACTAGCTCAACGAAGAACTAGGATATACAATGTCCCACTGCATGAGTGGTTAAAACGTGGAAGGCAGACCCAATTTCTCCCTTCTGTTGTTATGATACTCTACCAAAACAGTTATAAACATTCAACAACCAATTCTTTTTTTTCTTTTTCTTTTTTTTTCTTTTTTATTTATTTATTTTTATATCAGGTAAGTACTAACACACACTGCACACGGCGGCACTTGAACCCTTCCCTTCCTCTTTGAGGATGGGGAGGTTATACCATTGGACTAGAGGCCCTTTGGTTTTCAACAACCCATTCTTATGATCAACCCTAATTCAGAGTATATAAAAATGAAAAGGAGGAAACCACAGAGAAAGTTCAAATCATAACACATGAAAAGTGTGAAAAGAAAAAAAAGGATACGACGAAAAAGAAGCTTGTAGGAAGAGGAAGACAAAGAATTCATAACTTATGAGAGTTGTCAACAAAAACAATCTCTATCAACTGTCTCTCCCTCACATTCTGTGTTGGTCATGCATTCTCTCTCTCTCTCTCTCTCTCTCTCTCTCTCTCTCTCTCTCTCTTCCCTAAGCTTTTCATGCTCTCCTTTCTTCTATTCCCCAAGCTTTTCATGCTCTCTTTTCTTCTCTTCCCTCTTACTATTTTTCCAAATGTTAAAACTTAATGTCTCCTTAGAAGACAAGATTTCATTTTTATGGAATATAAGTTGGGAAAAGGACTTTATGCATCCTCAAGATGAGGGTTTTAATTCCCTCAAAAGTTAACAAAAACCATAACATATAAAAGGAAATTATAACTTGTTACTGGTTTGGACATAAATAAGAGTCTTAAGAGACCTGTCTAGCCTTGTGTAATAATCACCCAATAGATTAGACAGATGATTAATGATTAGCAATACCTGTGGCTTTGAGCATTGAGTGGATCTAACATGAAATCGTCCAATAAAAGTTTTTACCTTGACGTTTCTCATGTTAAAGGTGCAGCATCAAAAGAATGAAGAACTTTTTCCAACATCATTCTTTTATCGGTGTCAAGAGGAGACTCTGGTTTGTCAGAGTGAGTGATATTTAGGAGGTAGAGCTTCTTAGAAGACACAAATGCAGCCGAAAAAATTCTCTTCATTCCTCCTCTGGTGCTATCAACTTTGTACTCAAACTCGTACACTTGTAGGCCTCCCTGGCCTGATCTCTCAGTAAATGCAATCACCTCAGCATCCTTTGTACTTTCCTATACAACAGCAGTACATAATAACATAAAACAGCTTTGAAACATTACATACAAAAGAAATTGATACAATCAAAAGCAGTTGCAGCAAGCTTAATTCGGTGCTGTATGGCAATCAACAGTACAATCAAATATCTGAGCACATTATTAGGACTTAGAATCAATATTCTGCCAATTTCTGTGATCAAAATATGCGTCACAATTGGTCAAATCATTTTGCTTTGGCTTGTATCAGACTGGGATTGTTAGTCGTGTTGATCCAGTTAATTTGCATGAGATCAAATTGAAGGCAACAAGAAAATGCATGGAGATTGTGAGGTGATGTGAAATCAACAGTCATGATTGACTTAATTAGCACTCACTAGGACGAGGTAAGTTAGACTACGTGGAACTTGAGATTAATATATTAATTAACTTGGTTGAGCCAAGTTGACTTGGTTCACTTTTGGATGTGTTAAATAGTGGTCGTAGAAGTAAAATGTCTTTTATTGGGACTAGAATACCTTAAAGAAAGTTTGAAAGGGCTTAGAACCGACACCCATCTTTGAACCATTTAATAGATATGATATTCTAGAAATTCTCGGAACTGCATTCATCACTATTCTAACTCTGTGGAAAATACATGGGAAAAGTCATAGTAAGGAAACAAAATGATAATATTGTGCATCTCCTAGTATCAAGCTGAACCATTACTTGTTTTATACTCCTAAATTAATCAAAATCCAAGTAATACATCCCACATACATTGCCTTGATCATACTCGTTTAAAATGAATTCTAGAGCATCTCTTAATAGGAAAAAGTGTTTTCTTCATCGTCTAGTTCAAAGGTAAAACGCTTAAGCAGCAGCGCCGAGCAGCCACAAGCACAAGTTGCAAGCCACACAACGGCCACTTTATGTAATACCAGTGGTTAAGTCTGTCATAAGTCCTCCCCTCCCAGTACCCTACTTTAAGTGGGACTAGAACAATGTAATATGATTGCCGGTGGTAGATGGGGTGTCGCTTGCGGGATCTTAGTGAACTTGGTCACCTCGTTTTGCAGAAACAAATACTTCTAAATCAAAATTTTGATAACTAATTAACATAAGTCACAAACACAAACAACTCTGCAAACACTACTTGCAATTTTACAAGAACTGAGGTTTTTATAAATATATTTTTCTAATATTCCTTGAAATGACAGCTCTGAAAGCAATGAACTGATAGCACCAGTTTGTGAATGCTATTCAGACAGATGAATATACATGATGAATGCAAGTGAATAAGATGTTTAGCATGTCAAAAGAGTCGAAACTTCCAAAGCAACTTGAGAAAAGTCCAATAAAGTATACACATAATTACATGGAGTATATGCTACAAATATAACAATAATTGCATGTGTGTTTGCTAAATGTAAGTGCATAAAGCTATTTAAGTCACCAGCAGATTAACAGATAACCAAGGAGGTCGGTTTAATAAATAGGATTAAAAGTGGGTTAAATTTGGAGGAACAAGCAGTGAAGAAAGGGAGGAGAGGACTTCTGAGTTGTCCAGCGAAGGCAATTGTATGGTAGAGAAAGTCTGTTGCGGATGGTAGTTCAGTGGCTGCAGATGGCAGGAAAAGAGAATAAGTGATGGATGGGGAAGTGGGGGAGAAACAGGCGCATGGACGTCTAGGTTAGACTATGAGATGAAAAGCTCTCCAAAAGTTAGCTTGAGGATTTTGAATGACGAAGAAGAACAAATTAAACATGTAAATAAAATGGGCTTGTCAGTCTTAAATCAGTGTCTTTTCCCTTAAAAATGTTATACGGCCGAATTTTATTGGCTGATAGATTCTAAAAACAAACATTATGAAGTCATTTAACTGAGGTCATTGTTGATAATTCAATTCACATGTAACAACAATCAAATGGCTAGCCTTGGAAAGGACAGAAATAAAGGCACATGCAGCAATTGACCTCTTTAAGAAACAAGAGGAAGCGATAAAACACAGAGATGCTTCAAATATATATTTTTTGTAAGTAGAGATGCTTCAAATATAACACTTATTCATAAACAAACCAAAAGACAAGAATCTATTGTTACATATGACAAAAGGAAGTAATTAAGGTAATTGACATACTGAAAACAGAATGTGAAAAAGATGAGTAGAAATAATCGACATACTGAAAATATATAGGAACTGCTCATGATAAGACAGAAATTCAATTTAAAACGCCAACAGTTGATAATATTATCTATGAAGAGCAAGAGAAAACTCCAGCTAGAGATGAAATAATGGATCAAGTACAAGCAGACTACTGGGGTATCTAATCTCATTCACTCCCCTAGCTTTCGTCTCTCAGTGTCATTGTCGGCCCAGAGTGCTATCGCCGTTGGTGTTCTTTCTGATCTCTACACATTTCACCGCTCCACCAGATATTCCCTCTGCCCTACCACACTCCAGCTTGGTAGTTTCCACCGCCTGTCCAGGGTTGAGCCCTGGGATTTGACAGCGGACTTAAAAAGCCAACGGAAGGTTTCAAAGTAAGGAGTTCCGATATCAGATCATTGTAAATCTCTATTCCAAGGAAGAGACATAACTTCCAAAAATTATAGAATGGCAGCTAAAGTTTTTGATGAGGTCAATTGCTGCTCGACACAGAGAGAGAACTGGAACTTATGACAGACACATTAGCAATTGTATTCAGTGGAACAAGGAAAAAAATAAAAATTGAATTCAGTGTGGTTAAACTATGTAATCATTTAGGCACAACCAAATTCGATCATCAACAATATATGTGTGTATAAATTCTAAATACTACCCAACAAACATAATTACTCCAAAAAGTTTACCTTGCGCTTTTCAGCCTCAATAAGCTTGTCCGCAACAAATCTAGGAGTACCGAATTCTCCGAGGTTTGTAAGACGAACTGGGTTGACCACAACCCCTACATTGTTAGCCCCCTTGTTTGCCTCCTCGAACAGAACGGTCGCCCCTGCTTTATCAACCTACAAACACAAACCTTAACCACAGTATTCATTTTTCACTGACACAGTGTAAAAAAAATAATAATAATTTGATTTGAAGATTATATATAGAGTCATAGACAGACCTTAATCCAAGACGATGGTATGAGGAGAGTGAAACCCACATTGGAATCTATGTATCGTTGAAGCTTTAACTCTTCAGAAGTGGCTTTAGAAATGGCGGGTAAATGGACAGATAAGATTAGGGCAACAATGGAGAGGTTGAGCTTTCTCTTGCTCAAACAATTAATTGATGGGATTTGATTGTTAGGGCTTTTATTTATGTTGGTAATTTTTTTGGGATTGCGAGAAGAAAAAGAGTTGGAGGTTGATGGTTTTGGTCTTCGTGGTGATAAGAGGAGGGGATTTAAGGGTGCAAAGCAAACACCAGCAAAAACCATTGCTCAAAAAACCAAATCCAAATTCAGCAATATCACTTACTTCTATTATCCTTCGTCTATTACTACTGAGTACTGACGAAACCACTGCACCAAATGAACTAACGCAACACTTGGGTACATACTGTAATTCTTAAACTAATCATGGCAATTCGTGTTTGTCATGATCGAAGATTTTCTCGTTCAATATTTATGCCTGTACCTCAATGCTGAACCCATCTATTTATTAAACGAGTTAGTAACCCATTTAATGATTTATTTACTGACTTATTTACTAACGCAATACTAGGGGCAGCTCAATGTCACTCGGGACTTTGACACAATTCCAGGGGCGGCTATGTAACAAGAGACTTTAGACCAAAAATAAAAATAGTCTTTTCATATCATAATATGTAATATATTAATTATTAAATAATAATTAATTAATTAATTAAATTCTTATATTAAAGAGTGGTTAAAATATCTTTTTCAATAAACAATATAACCAATCCATTTAATCTTTTGTGTCATATAGTTAATTGTAGATATGATTTTATCAACTTTAATTTCGAAAAACTTATTTATGCTAATGTAATAGTTACCGGTATTGTCAATAATATTTCATAAGCAATGCATGTATTTGGAAAAGACTAGCTTTTAATATAATTTAATATTTCAATTGAAGTGTTTGTTTCCATATATAAAATTTCTTTTAAAACTTCTAATTCTAAAAATAAATCTAAACCGTCAATATTAGAAGACTGATCATGTTTTAAAAATAGTTCTAAATTAAGACAACGGCTAAATATTTATTGTGGTGCAACTTATCAAAAAAATATTTACTTCTCCATACAACGGCTAAATATTTATTATAGTGCAACTTACCCAAAAAATATTAAATATATAGTGCTAGTGTAAAAAAAAAAACGCCTATAAGATAGACAAATAAATAAAATTTTAATGAGATATTTTAAGAGATAAATAATTTCTCTATTGGTTAAAGTTTAATGAAAGGCGTGAATAATGATAAGGACAGAGAAAACAAAACAAAGAACAGTTATTTTAGGAAATAAATTTTTTAGAATTAGTGTTCAATAAGAAACAATTACAATATATCATATACTAGGCAACTTTAATATTTTGGGGCCTTTTTATTGGTTGGGCCTTAGGCGGCCGCCTAACTCGCCTAAGGCTCGAACCGCCCCTGCGCAACTAATCATCATATAATTCTTAGCTAATCATCCCATGGCTAGCAATTCGTGTTTGCCATGATCCAAGATATTCTATTAAATAGTTGAATCCAAATAAGACTTGTTTAATATTTATGTCAGCAACGTTCAATAGTGATCCGATCTATTCATTAAACGAGTTATATGTGTAATTCATAACTTATTTATTAAAATAAAAATATTATATTATTTAAATTATTAATAATACTCAATCAAATCATAAATACTTTAAAAAAAAATATTATGTAATTCTTCTGATGCTGAAATGGACCAATAAAAATATGACATGTGTCAAAAACTTTTTTAAATAGTTAATAAAAATTATTTGGATCTTTTTTGCAGATCATCCAAAAGGAAAAAAAAAAATTCCCTTATGCGTTTGAGATTTTCTATTGCAAACTGTTCATATTGCAATCTGTTATTGAAGAAGTTAAACAATTAATACAAATATGGTAAATTAACCACAATTATAAGAGTTCAATTATCAATGGAGTTTAAGGAAATCAATTTGGCTTTAGTTTACAACAGGTGGTGATAAATCTCAAAATTTTGGATGTTACTAGAGTTATGTGTATTTATTAATTGGTCGGCTTCTTGAGTCATTCTTGAGATGGAGTTGCAACAGAGATGGCAGGCAACGAATGTGGCGGCTTGAATTATCTCTAAAGATTGGATGTAAAATATTAGGGTTTAGGAATGGAGGAGGTGGCAATTAGTTGGCGGAAGAGAGGATAATATTAGGGTTTCATAATTGGGGAGATAGTGAGCATCAATGAGGATTTAGTGAGAAGAGAGAAGGAATCGTGAGTTAAAGAGAGGGAGAACCCACTACCAGGTCTCATACACAAGTGAGAGAAAATCCTCTTCCTTTTTAGATAACTAGTGAAAAGATCTGAATGATTCAGGTTTACTTTTTTTAATTTTTTTTTGACACATGTCATGTTGTTATTAGTCCATATCAACATAAGAAGGAAAACCCTGCTTATGCAACCTAAGAGCATCTCCAACCATTGTGTATATTTTTTTTTGTGTAAATCTGATGTGTCATGATGGATTTACACAACAAATTTGCATTATTTAATTTAAATTCCAACAGTTGTTTTATACCTTTTGTGTAAAAATATATCTCCCAATAATAGCTGGCCATGTGTCATGCCAGGACTCCACATAACTTTTACAAACTTACTTAATATATGGTTAATTCTTTAATGAAATGAGAAAGAGGGATGAGAAAGAAAATATGTTGATCTGGTAGTGTAAAAAGGATGTGTAAAATACACAACCCTTTTACACATTTGTGACGTGGCAATGTATCTTAAAAGACTGCTGGAGATAGAAAAATTTTACACATCATAGGTGGCAGCTTATATTTTATACAAAAGGGTATTTTAACATACCGCTGGAGATGCTCTAAGGCAAGTTTTTTCCTAATCTACAAAAGAGTAAATTATAATACACAAGTTTAGATTGTTATTTTTGAATTTAAATATAAATTTGTTTATGGCACGTAAAGTTAAATGGGTTGAACCATATCAATCCAAACATGACATGATTAACTAAACGATTAATCGTGTCGACCCATTTAAGGTTATCTCAAATCAAACCAGTTTAACTTGTATCGTATTCGAGTTTTGTTGGTGGGTCGTATCAAACTTTGCCACCTTTACAAGAAATGGGTGAGACAGGTTAACCAAATTAGACCAGTCCAATTCCAAATTCAAATTTGAAAATCTTAATTTTTACGATTCAATTATGGTCAGTCTTTTAAGACTGTTAACTATTTACAAGAAATCTTATGATCTAATTCTATGACTTCTTAATTTTTGACAAACGCCCGATGGAATTTTGAAGCAACTCATGTCAAAAATTACGAAGCAAACTCATTCAATTTTGGTGGTCAAGATCAAATGATCACAAAGGTGTTTGTTGGACAAAATGGGACATTATGTGAAAAACAAAGCAGATTATTTGTTTACCAAGGTGTTCAAAGCTAAATATTTTCTTGATTCTTCTTTTATGCAGTCTCGAATGAAGAGAGGAGCTTTTTGGGAGCTTCTTGGGCATGCCGAAGTATTTTTTCAAGCAAAGAAATCCTTCTTAAAGGTTTTAGGTGGAATGTGGTTAATGGTCGAAGTATTAACATAAGGACTGATCTTTAGATTCCAGAATCATTGGATTTAAAAGTTCAAACTCCTTGTCCTGTGGGTAGTGAACTTCAAACGGTCCACGATCTTATTGATCCACATACCAAGAGCTGGAATTGTTCCCTATTGCATCAATATTTTGGCCAAGAAGATTGCACGTTTATCCAAATGATTCCTATTAGTGAATTTGCTAGTTTGGATAAAAAGATATGGGCGTTCACTAGTAACGGCTCTTTCTTTGTCAAATCAGCTTATAACGTTGCATTTTTTGTGGGCTTCTTGCCATGGTCATATTCAAGTTTTTTCAAAATTGAAAAGAAGGAAAATAGTGGAGGATGAGGGTTGCAAAAGATGTGGGCTTGACATTGAAAGTGTCGACCATATGTTGTTGTTATGCCCTTTTGCTCAAAACATGTGGAGATTGAGCCCTTTGAGGGTGTTGGTTGAACAAAGCCCTTGTTTAACATGGTCTTCATGGTTTTCAAATATAGTTGTAGATTTTCAACACTCTAACATGAGGATGGATACGTTAAGTTTAATTGCTTACATAACTTGGTATTTGTGGAAATTGCTTACATAACTTGGTATTTGTGGAAAACAAGAAACGCTTTTATTTATAAAGAAAAGGTCATGACTGAACAAGAGATTCTTTCTCTTACTTTAAAGTAGTGGGATGAGTTTAAGCAAGTAATGGATGCCCAGTCCATGTGTTATAGCAATCTGGTTGCTATTAGAACAGAGACGTGGCAATCTACACTCAATGGTGTACATAAATCAAATTTTGAAGCCTCTTTTATTGCTCATTCTAGAGAAGCCGTATGAGGAATTGTTGTTCAAAATTCAGAAAGGTGCATTGTTAAAGCTACCATCTGTTCATTACCAAACATGACTTCTGCTCTTATGGCTGAAGCTGCAAATCAAATGGAGTTTGGAGTAGGGCTTTACAGAATTAATTATTGAGGGTGATTGTAAAGTTCTCCTTGAATCAAAGAGTCCTCAAAGCTACATAGCTGCTATTTGGGAAGATATTAGCTTTATGTTTACCCAGTTTCAAATCATATCCTTGAATTGGGTTGTGTTGCCCAAGTATAGACTCTAGAGGGGGGGGGGGGGTGAATAGAGTCTAAGCAAACTAAGGTCAATTTTTCAATATTGATTTACCAACTAAAGTTAAACTCAACTTCTTCGACAAATATTGAATGATGTAATCTAAATTTTAAGCTTTAATTGTCAATTTTTATGAAGAGGCATATCAAGACATACATGAAGCAATAAATATAAGAGATAAAGATAAAAGTTGCAAATATGTAATTAGCGATTTTAGCGAGGTTCAGAAACTCCTACTCCTCGGCTCAAAATCCCTCTTGAGACTTCCCAATTCACTATGGCTTCTCCTTGCGGGTGGAGAGCAAACCTTTTACAAGAAGCTCTTCCTTGTTCTAAAAGCTAAGAGAAACACCTTCTCTTAGTCTTTCTTGGGCCACACCAGCCTTTATAAGATTTGAACAAGATTGATGAAGTACAAGGTGATCTCTTTTAGATCTAAAGTACAAGATTTAGCTCACTCTAGAGTTTGTATGAATAACTTGAAGCTTAACTCTCTTTTATGATATATGATGTGTGTAAATGATGATGAGAAGCTTTTTGATTGCTAGAAGATCTTTCTCAATAAATGCAACAACCTTTTATGAAGACTACCAGTCATTATATAGACTTTCAGAACTGTTTGATAAGAGTTATAGCTGTTGGACACGCACTTTAAGAAAAAATGCCCGCTTGAATTTTAAAAAACGTAGCTTCGGTCGACCGAAATAAAACACCCTTGTGTTTCGGTCATCCAAA